AGAAGCCACGCATTATTGCAGTGAGGTTGTTGGTTGTTGTTGTTGTTGGTTGCTTGCTGGTGGTGGTGGTAGCAGTGGTGGTGTTGCTGGTTTGCTTGTGGAAGTGATGTTGTTGTTGGTTGTGGTTGCTGTTGCTGGTGGTAGAGGAGGTTGGTTGTTGTTGTTGTTGGTGGTGGGTGGGAGTGAGTGTTGCTTGCTGGTTGGTGGTAGGTGGTTGTTGGTTGGTGCTGGTGGCAGTGAGGCTTGGTTGCTTGGTTGGTGGCAGTGAGCGTTGGTTGTTGGTGGTGGTGGCAGTGAGAGTTGCTGCTGGCGGTAGTGAGTGCTTGCTGTTGCTTGGTTGCTGGCGGTAGCGGAGGCTGCTTGCTTGGTTGGTGGTGGTGAGCGTTGTTGCTGGTTGGTGGTGGTGATTATTGGTTAGGCGGGGTAGTGAGTGTTGTTGCTGGTTGGTGGCGGCAGTGAGTGCTGGTTATTGCTGGTGGCAGTGAGTGCTGCTGGTTGGTTTTTGGTGGCAGTGAGTGTTGTTGCTGCTGGTGGTGGGCAGTGCTGTTGCTGTTGGTGGCGGAGTGAGTGCTATGGTTGTTGCTGGTGTGGTGGTGAGGTTGCTGTTGCTGGTGGTGGTGGCAGGAGTGTTGCTGGTTGCTGGTGGTGGCAGTGGAGTGCTGGTTGTTGCTGGTGGTGGTGGCAGTGAGTGTTGCTGTTGCTGGTAGTGAGTGCTGGTTGCTGGTTGTTGCTGGTGGAGGAGTGCTGGTTGTTGTTGGCAGTGAGCTGCTGGTTGCTGGTGGTGGTGGCGAGTGTCGTTGGTTGCTGGTTGGTTGGCTTGGTTGGTGGTGGCATGATTGTTTGCTGGTTGCTGGTGGGGGGTAGTGAGCGTTATTGCTGTTGTTGTGGTGGCAGGTGGTAGCGTCATTGCTGGTGGTGGCGGTGGCAGTGATATTGCTGGTTGCTGGTGGTGGCGGCTGAGTTGTTGTTGCTGCGGTGGTGGCAGTGATGCTGGTTTGCTGGTGCGTGAGGTTGCTTGTTGCCGTGCGGTGGCGGTGAGTGCTTGTTGTTGTTGTTGCTGGTGGTAGTGGTGTTGTTGCTGTTGTTGGTGTTGGTGGTTAGGCTTCGGTTGGCGGCAGGAGTGCTATTGCTGGTTGGTTGTTGGCGGCAGTGAGTGCTGTTTGCTGGTTGCTGTTTGGCGTGGTGGTGGGCAGGCTGGTTGGTGGTGATGCAGCGAGGCTGGTTGCTTGGCTGGTGGTGAGCAGTGGCGCTTGGTTGCCTGTTGGCGGTGGTGGTGGTGAGGCCTGTTGTGCTGGTTGGTGAGGAGTTGGTTGCTGCTGGTTGCTGCGCGGTGGTGAGCGCTGTTTGCTGGTGATGGCATGATGCTTGTTGCTGGCTGCGTGCAGTGAGGTTGCTGCCGGTCAGTGATTGTGAGGTTGCTTGCCAGTCGGCGGTGGTAGGTTGCTTGCTGGCTGGTGGGTAGTGTTGCTGGGCTACTGGCTGGTGGTGCAGGTGATGCTTGCTGCTGCTGCTGGCGGTGCAGTGGCGCCATTGCTGGTTGGCGGCGGAGGATTGCTGGTTGTTGCTGGTGGTGGTGGTGCGGTGGAGTGCTCGTTGCTGTTGGCGGTTGCGAGTAAGCCATTATTGCTGGTTGCTGGTTGCTTGGTGGTGGTGAGTACACGTTGCTGGTTGTTGGCGGAGTGAGTGCTTGCTTGTTGGTTCGCTGGTTGGCTGGTTGGTTGGTTGGTTGGTGGTTGGCAGTGGGCTGGTCATTGGTTGGCTGCGGGTGGATATCGTCATTGCTGGTTGCTGGTGCAGTGAGTGCTGTTGCTGGTTGCTGGTTGTTGCTGTTGTTGCTGCTGGCGGAGGCAGTGAGTGCTGGTTGGGTTGCTGGTGGTGGCAGTGAGTGCTTGCTGTTGCTGGCGGTGGTGGTGGTGAGTGCTTTGTTGCTGGTTGCTTGCTGCTGGTGGTGAGCGTTGCTGTTGTTGTTGCTTGGTGGCGGTGGTGAGGCTGGTTGTTGCTGGTGGAGCGTAGAGGTTGCTGGCTGGTGGTGGTGGAGTATTGTTGCTTGCTTGTTGCGGTGCGTAGTGGCGCGTTGTTGCTGCTGGTGCAGGTGAGCGCTGCTGTTGTTGCTGCTGGCGGTGTGTTGCTGCTGTTGCTGGTTGCTGGTGGTGGTGGTGAGTGCTGGTTGTTGCTGGTGGTGTGAGTGGCGTTGCTTGCTTGTTGCTTGTTGCAGAGTGTAGGTTGGTTGCTGGTGGCGGTGGCAGGAGTAATTGTTGCTGTTGGCGGCAGCGGGTTGCTGGTTGTTGCTGGTGGAGGTGAGTGCTGGTTGGTTGTTGTTGGTGGCAGGAGGTTGGTTGCTGGTTGCTTGCTGGTGGTGGCAGGAGAGGCTGGTTGTCGGGCGTGGCGGCGGTGAGTGCTGTTGCTGGTGCTGCTGGTCGGTTGCTGCTGGTGGTGGTGTGAGTGCTGTTTCGCGGCGCGGTGGCAGTGAGTGCTGGTTTTTGGTTGCTGGTGGCGGTGGTGAGTGCTTTGTTGTTGCTGGTGGTGAAAGTGGAGTGCTGGTTGCTGGTTGCTGGCATGGTGGTGAGGCTGGTTGCTGTTGGTGGCAGTGAGTGGCTGGTTGCTGGTGGCGGCGGTGAGTGCTTTGTTGCTTGCTGGTGGCAGTGGAGTGCTGCTTGCTGGTTGTTGCTGGTGGTAGTGAGGTTGTGGCGGTTGTTGCTGGCGGTGCAGTGATGCCATTGCTGGTTGCTGGTGGCGGTGGAGGCTGGTTGCCTTGCTGGTTGGCAGTAGTGAGTATGCAGGTGCAGGAGTTGCTGTTGGCGGTGGTGGCAGAGAGCTGGTTGGTTGGTTGGCTGGCGGTGGTGGAGTGCTGTTGCTGGCTGCTGGTGCGGAAGTGAGCATTGGTTGCTGGTTGGCTGCTTGCTGGTTGGTGGTGGTGATAGTTATTGCTGGTGCAGGTGTAGAGCGGTTGCTGTTGGTGCAGGTGGCAGTGAGTGCTGGTTGGTTGCTTGCTGCTGGTGGGTACTGATGTTGGTTGCTTGCTGGTTGTCGTTGCTGGTGGTGCAGGTGGCGCTGGTTGCTGCTGGCGGCGGTGGCAGTGGAGGTTGCTGTTGCTTGCTGGTGGCAGGCGCTTGCTGGTTGCTGGTTGTGGCAGGCGTTGCTATTGCTGGCTGGCGAGTTGCTGGTTGGTTGGTGGCGGTGGTGAGGTTGGTTGCTGGCTGGTGCAGTGAGTGCTGGTTGCTGCTGGTGGTGGCGGAGTGGAGCGTCTGTTGCTGGTTGCTGGCGGTGGTGAGCGCTGTTGCTTGCTGGTGGCAGGGGGTTGGTTGGGTTGCTGGCAGTGAGCAGTTATTGGCTGGTTGGTGGTGGTGAGTGCTTGTCGCTGGTGCGAGTGAGTTGGTTGCTTGCTGCGGTGGTGGGCTGGTTGTGGCAGGTGAGTGCTGGTGTTGTTGCTGGTGGTGGCGAGTGATTGCTGCTGGTTGTTGCTGCTGGTTGCTTGCTGGTGTGGTGGAGTGCACGGTTGTTGCTGGTGCAGGTGAGTGTTGCGGCATGTTGGTTGGTGGTGGTGGAGTGCTGTTGCTGGTTGGTGGCAGTGGAGTGTTGGTTGTTGCTGGTGGTGGTGAGTGATTGTTGCTGGTGGTGGTAGTGAGTGCTGCTGTTGCTGGTGGTGGTGAGTGCTGGTTGTTGTTGGTGGCAGTGAGTGCTGGTTGCTGTTGGTGGCAGTGAGGTTAGCTGCTGGTTGCTGGCTGGTTGGCAGGCGGAGTGCTGTTTGCTGGTGGCAGTGGAGTGTTTTGGTTGGTGGTGGAGTGCGCTTGTTGTTGTTGTTGCTGGTGGTGGTGAGTGTTGTTGTTGCTGGTGGCAGTGAGGTGCTGGTTGCTGGAGTGGTGCCTTGCTGGTTTTGCTGGCGGGAGTGGGTTGCTGCTGGCTGGCAGGAGTGCTGTTGTTGGCTGGTGTGCTGGTGGCAGTGAGGTTGTTGGTTCGGTGAGCGCACGTTGCTGGCAGTGAGCGCTGGTTGCTGCTGCTTGCTGGCGGCGGTGAGTGCTGTTGCTGGCGGCAGTGAGCGTTGTCGTTGCTGTTGCTGGTGCAGGTGGCGAGTGCTGGTTGTTGCTGGTTAGAGCGTCATTGGTTGCTGGCGGCGGCAGCAGTGAGCGTCATTGTCATTGCTTGCGGCGGTGATGGGCTGTATTGCTGGCGGCAGTGATATTGCTGGCGGTTGGCAGTGAGCGTTATTTGCTGGTTGCTGGTTGGCGGCGATACTGGTTGTTTTGCTGGTAGTGAGTGTTGGTTGTTGCTGGTTGCTGGTGGTGGCGGTGAGTGCTGGTTGTTGCTGGCGCTGGCGAGTGCTGTTGTTTGCTGTTGCTGGTGGCAGTGAGTGCCTGGTTGCTGGTTGGTGGCAGTGAGTGCTGGTTGCTGGTGGTGGTGAGGTTGCTGCTGCAGTGATATTGCTGGTTGCTGGGTTGCTGGTGGCAGCGATGTTGCTGGTTTGCTTGCTGGTGGTGGCAGTGAGCTGCTGTTGCTGGCAGGTGGTGGCGAGTGCTTGCTGCTGGTGGCAGCATGCTGGTTGTTGCTGGCGGCAGTGAGCGCTGCTTGCTTGCTGGCGGCAGTGAGCGTTGTTGTTGCTTGGTTGGCTGGTGGCGGTGGTGGCAGCGCTGCTGGCTGGCGGCAGTGAGCGCTGGTTGCTGGTTGGCGGTGGTGGCGGCGGCGGAGCGCTTTGCTGGTTGGTGCAGGTGCGTGGTGAGGTGGTTGGTTGTTGTTGGTGGTGAGTACAGTGCTGGTGTGCTTGTTGCTTGCTGTTGGTGGCAGTGGAGTGCTTGTTGCTTGCTGTTGGTGCAGTGAGTGCTGGTGGTGTTGTTGTTGCTGCTGTTGTTGCTGTTGTTGGTGGTGGCGCTGGTAGCAGAGTGTGTTGCTGTTGCTGGTGGTGGTGAGCGCGTTGTTGTTGCTGGTGGTGGTGGCAGTGAGTGCGTTGTTGCTGTTGTTGTTGGTGGTGGTGAGTGTTGCTTGCTGGTGGTGAGTGCTTGCTGGTTTTATGCTGGCGGTGGTGGAGTGTGGTTGTGCTGGGTGGCGGTGATGGTTGCTGTTGCTGGTGATGCGTGAGTGGGTTGTGCTTTGCTTGTTGCTGGCGGTGCAGGAGGCTTTGCTGGTTCGGTGGCAGGAGTGCTGGTTGTTGCTGGTGAGTGAGTGTCATTGTGTTGCTGGTTGGTGGTGGTGAGGCTGGCAGGTTGGTTGCTGTTGCTGGTTGCTGCTGTTGCTGGTGGCGGTGCTGGTGAGTGCTGGTTGCAGGCTGGTGGTGAGTGCTGCTGGTGCTTGCGGCAGTGAGTGCTTGTTGCTGGTTGCTGGTTGCTGGTTGCTGGTGGTAGCAGAGTGCTGGTTGTTGCTGTTGTTGGTGGTGGTGAGTGCAGCTTGCTGGTGGTGGTGGAGGCTGGTTGTTGTTGCTGCTGGTGGCAGTGGAGTGCTTGCTTGCTTGCTTGCTGGTGGTGCAGTGAGCGCTGGTTGTTGGTGGTGGTGGTGGTGGCAGGGTTGCTGGTAGTGAGTGTATTGTTGGTTGGTTGGTGGTGGCAGGAGTGCTTGTTGTTGTTGTTGCTTAGTTTGCTGGTTGGTGGTGGTGAGTGTTGGTTGTTGGCGGCAGTGGAGCGTTATTGGTTGGTTTGGTGGTGGTGGTGGTGAGTGTCGTTGGGGTGGTGTGAGTGCTGTTGCTGGTTGGTTATTGGTTGCTTGGTTGCTGGCTGGTGGTGGCGGAGGCTGAGTTGCTGCTGGTGGCAGTGAGCAGCTGGTTGGTTGCTGGTTGGGTTGCGGGTGGTGGTGCTGGTGGCAGTGAGTGCTGGTTGCAGGTGGTGGTGGAGTGAGGTTGTTGCCTGCTGGTGGTGGTGGTGAGCTGGCTGGGCTGGCGGTGGCAGTGAGCGTTGGTTGCTGGTGCTGGTGGCAGGAGTGCTGGCTGGTTGTTGCTGGTTTGCTGGTTGGTGGTGGCAGTGAGTGCTGGTTGCTGGCGGGGTGCGGCGGCGAGCATTGGTTGCTGGTTGTTGTTTGGTTGTTGCTGGTTGGTTGCTGGTGGCGGTGGCGGCAGTGAGCGCTGGTTGCTGCTGCGGTGGTGGTGGCAGTGGTGCTGCTTGGGTTGCTGGCAGTGATAGTGGTTGGTTGGTTGTTGGTTGGTTGCTGCTTGTTGTTGTTGGTTGGTGGTGGTGGTGGTATGAGTGTTGCTTGCGGTGGTAGTGAGGTTGTTTGCTTGCTGTGGGGTGGCAGTGAGTGTTGCTGGCTGGTCGGTTGGTGGCAGTGAGGTTGGTTGCCGTTGGTTGTTGTTGTTGCTGGTTGCGGTGGTTGCTTGCGGTGGTTGGTGGCAGTGAGTGCTATTGGTTGCTGTTGCTGGTGGCATTGATGTTGCTGGTTGCATGGCTGGTGGCAGAAGTGGAGTGCTGGTTGCTGTTGGTGCTGGTGGCAGTGAGTGCTGGTTGCTGTTGCTGGTGGTGGTGGTGAGTGCTGTTGCTGCTGCGGTGGTGGTGAGTGCTGGTTGCTGCTGGTGCAGTGATGCGTTGCTGTTGCTGGTGGCGGTGAGTTGCTTGCTGGCGGGAAGGGAGTGCTGTTGGTTGCTGGTGGTGGTGGTGGTTGCTTGCTGTTGTTGCTTGCTGGCGGTGCAGGAGCGTTGTTTGTTGCTGGTGGCAGTGAGCGTTGCTGGTTGGTTGGTGGTGGGTGAGCTTGGTTTTGCTGGTGGTGGCAGTGGAGTGCTTTGCTGGTTGCTGGCGGCGGTGAGCGTCATTGCTTGCTGGCGGCGGTGAGTGCTTGGCGCTGTTGGTTGGCTGGTGGTGATATTATTGGTTGCTGGTGGGTTTTGGTTATTGTTGCGGTGGTGATGTTGCCGGTTGCTGCTGGTGCAGAGTGGAGGCTGGCGTGCTTGCTGGTTGCTGGTGGTGGTGAGTGCTATTGGTGGCTGGCGGCAGGCGATAGCTGGTTGCTGCTGCTGGCGGTGGGCAATATTGCTGGCGGCAGTAGTGATAGTTTGGTTGCTTGCTGGTGGCGGGTGAGGTTGGTTGCTTGCTGCAGTGAGGCTATTTGTTGCTGGTGGTGGTGATAGCTGGTTGGTTGCTGGTGGCGGTGAGTGCTTGCTTGCTGGTGGTGGAGTGCTGTTGTTGCTGGTGGTGCAGTAGTGAGTGCTGCTGGTTGTTGCTTGGTTGGTGGTGGTATTGTTGCTTGCTGGTAGTGAGTGCTGCTGGTTGCTGGTGGTGGCAGTGAGTGTTGCTGCTGTTGCTGGTGGTGGTGGAGCGTCATTGCTGCTGGTGGCGGTGTGAGTGCTGCTGGTTGCTGGTGGCAGTAGTGCATTGCGCATTGCGGTTGTTGCTGGTGCAGGAGGTTGGTTGTTGTTGCGAAGTGCTGGTTGGTTGTTGGTTGTTGTTTGGTGGCGGTGAGTGCTGTGAAGGTTGTTGGTTGCTTGCTGGTTGCTTGCTGGTGCTGGTGGTGGGTTGGTTGTTGCTGGCAGTTGGTTGCCTTGCTGGTGGTGGTGCAGTGGGAGCGTTGTTGTTGCTGGTGGCAGTGGTGGTGGCGCGGTTGCTTGCTTGCTGGTGCAGTGAGGCTGCTGGTTGCAGTGAGTGCTGTCGTTGGCTGTTGCTGGTGGTGAGTGCTGGTTGCTTGCTGGTGGCAGTGAGTTGTCGTTGCTTGCTGGTTGGGTTGCCGGTTGCTGGCGGTGGTCATTGCTGCTGGTGCAGTGGAGTGCTATTGGTTTGCTGGCTGGTGGCAGCAGTGAGTGGCTATTGTCGCTGGTGGTGGTGAGTGTCATTGGCTGGTTGGTTGCGGTGGCGGTGATATCATTGTTGTTGGCGGCAGCGGAGTGCTTGGTTGGTTTGCTGGTCATTATTGTTACTGGTTATTGCTTGTTTGGTGGTGGCGTGATGTTGGTTGGCTGTTGCTGGTGGCGGGAGGTTGGTTGGTTGCTGGTTGCTGGTTGGTGGCGGTAGTGCTGGTGGTGCATTATTGCTTGCTGGTTGTTGCTGGTTGCTGGTGGTGGTGGTGCTGGTAGCGCGCTATTGCTGTTGCTGGCGGTGGGTGATGGCTGGTGGCGTGCTGGTGGCAGTGGGAGGCTGGTTGCTTGCTGGTTGGTTGTGCTGGTTGGTTGCTGGCGGCGGTGGAGGTTATTGCTGCTTGCTGTTGGTTGCTGGTTGCGGTGGCAGTGATGCCGGTTGCTGCTGGTTGCTGCTCGGTGGCATTGGTGTGCCATTATTGCTGGCTGGCGTGAGCGTCCTTGTTGCTGGTTGGTTGGCAGTGTATTGGCCTGCGGTGGCAGTGAGGCTGGCTGGCTGGCGGTGGTGGTGGGGTGTGGCATTGGCGCCGGAAGGTGCTGTCTTGGTTTTGCTGCGGCGTGAGTGATTATTATTGCTGGTTGTTGCTGGTGGTGGTGGCGGCTGGTTGTTGGCAGTGAGCGCTTGCTGGCTGGTGGTGGTGGTGGTGGCGGAGTGCTGGTATGAGGGGTTGTTGGCTGGTTTTGCTGGTTTTGGTTGGTGGTTTGCTGGCGGTGGCGGTGCAGAAGTGGGCTGGCTGTTGGTGGTGGTGGTGTGAGTGCTGGTTGCTGGTTGCTGGCTGGTTGGTGGCGGTGGTGGCGGGAGCGCTGCTGTTGCTGGCGGCGGTGGTGGTGGTGGTGGCATTGCTGTTAGTGGTGGCGCCAGTGTTGTTGCTTGCTGGTTGCTGGTGGTGGTGGCATTGCCGTTAGTGGTAGTGGCGCTAGTGCTGCTGCTGGTGGTGGTGGTGGTACTGGTTGTTAGTGGCAGTGGCGCCAGTGCTTGGTTGTTGTTTGCTTGCTGGTTGTTGGTGGCGGCGGTGGCATTGCTGTTGGGTAGTGGCGTCAGGTGTTGGTTGGTTGTTGCTGGCGGTGGTGGTGGCATTGCTGTTAGTGGCAGTGGTGCCAGTGTTGGTTGCTGGTTGGTTGCTGGTGGTGGCGGGTGGCATTGCTGTTAGTGGCAGTGGCGCCAGTGCGGTTGTTGTTGCTGGTTGTTGCTTGGTGGCGGTGGCATTGCTGTTAGTGCAGTGGCGCTAGTGCTGCTGCTTGCTTGCTGGGTGGTGGTGGTGCGCGGCATTGTCGTTAGGTAGTGGCAGCTAGTGCTTGCGTTGTTGCTGCTGGTGGTGGTGGCGGTGGTGGCATTGTTAGTGGCAGTGGCGCCAGTGGGGCTGCTTGTTGTTGCTGGTGGTGGTGGTGGCATTGCTGGTTAGGGGCGGTAGTGGTGCTAGCGTTGTTGCTGTTGCTGTTTGCTGGTTGCTGGTGGTGGTGGCATTTGGTTAGGTGCAGTGGCGCCAGTGTTGGTTGCTGGTTGGTGCTGGTGCGTGGTGGCAGTGGTGGCATTGCTGTTAGTGGCAGTGGCGCCAGGCGTGCTTGCTTGGCTGGTTTTGCTGGTTGCTGGTGGTGCGGCGGTGGTGGTGGCGGCATTGCTGTTGGCGGCAGTGTGGCGTGCCAGCGTCACTGGCTGCTGCTGGCTGGCAGGCGGTGGTGGTGGCATTGCTGTTAGTGGCAGTGGCGCAGCAGTGTGTTGCTGGTTGTTGCTGCTGGTGGTGGTGGTGGCATTGCTGGTTAGTGAGTGGCGTGCTGTTGCTGGTTGCTGGTTGCTGGTGGTGGTGGTGGCATTGCTGCTGGCGGTGCAGTGGCGCCAGTGCTTGCTGTTGTTGCTGTTGTTGGTGGTGGTGGTGGCATTGCTGTTAGTGCAGGGCAGCGCTGTTGCTTGTTGCTGGTTGCTGGTGGTGGTGGTGGTGGCATTGCTGCTGGTGCAGGTGGTGCCAGTGCTGTTGCTGGTTGTTGCTTGCTGCTGGTGGTGGTGGTGGTATTAGGCAGTGGAGCCAGCCAGGTTGTTTTGGTGCTGGCACTGGTTTGTTGGTGGTAGTGGCGCTAGTGTTGGTTGCTGGTGGTGCAGTGGCGGTGGCATTGCTGTTAGTGGCAGTGGCGCCAGTGTTGTTGGTTGTTGTTGGTTGCTGGCATTGTTGTTAGTGGCAGTGGTGCCAGTGCTGGTTGCTGGTTGCTGGTGGCGGCGGCATTGCTTGTTAGTGCAGGTGTGGCGCTAGCGTTTGTGGTTGCTGGTTGCTGTTGCTGGTGGTGGTGGCAGCATTGCTGTTAGTGGCAGTGGTGCCAGTGGTTGCTGTTGGTTGTTGCTGGTTTGGTGGTGGCATGTGCCAGGTGGTAGTGGCGCTAGGTTGCTGTTGTTGTTGCTGTTGCTGGTGGTGGTGGCATTGCTGTTAGTGGCAGTGGCGCTAGTGTTGCTTGCTGGTTGGTTGCTGGCGGTGGTGGCGGCATCGTTGCGTGCAGTGGTAGCCAGGCGTGCTGGTTGCTGGTTGCTGCTGGTTGCTGGTGGGTGGCATTGTTTTTAGGTGGCAGTGGCGCTATGTTGGTTGTTTGCTTGCTTGGTGGTGGTGGTGGCATTGTTGTTAGTGGTGCGGCGCTGCGTTGTTGCTGGTTGCTGGTGGCGGTGCAATTGCCGTTAGTGGTGCGTGGCGCTAGTGTCGTTGCTGGTTGTTGCTGGCGGTGGTGGCGGTGGCGGCATTGTTGTTAGGCGGCAGTGGTGCTTAGTGTTGCTTGCTTGCTGCCAGTGGTGCGGCATTGTTAGTGGTGGGTAGTGGTTGCGCTGCTGCTGGCGGTGGTGGTGGCGGCATTGTTGTTAGTAGTGCAGCCAGTGCTGGTTGCTTGCTTGCTGGTTGCTGGTTGCTGGCGGCGGTGGCGGCATTGCTGTCAGTGCAGTGGTGCCAGTGCTGTTGCTGCTGCTGGCGGTGGCGGCGGCGGCATTGGTTGTTAGGCGGCAGTGGCGCTAGTGCTTGCTGTTGCTGCTTGCTTGCTGTTGCTGGTGGTGGTGGCATTGGCTGTTGAGTGGTAGTGGCGCTGAAGTGCTGGTTGCTGGTTGCTGGTGGTGGTGGCATTGCTGCGGTAGTGGCGCTAGTGCTGGCTGGTTGCTTGCTGGTTGCTGGTGGCGGCATTGTTGTTAGTGGCAGTGGCGCTAGTGCTGGTTGCTTGCTGGTTGTTGCTGGTGGTGGTGGCATTGTTGTTAGTGGCAGTGGTGCTAGTGCTGTTGCTGCTGGTTGCTGTTGGTTGCTGGTGGCATTGTTGCTGAGTGGCAGCCAGGTGTTGTTGTTGTTGCTGGTGGTGGTGGCATTGTTGTTGAGTGGCAGTGGTGCCAGGGTTGTTGCTGGTGGTGGTGGTGGTGGCATTGGTTGCAGTGGTAGCGGCGCCAGTGCTGTTGCTGTCGCGTTGGTTGGTTGTTGGCGGTGGTGGCATTGCTGTTAGTGGTAGTGGCGCCAGTGCTTGGTTGCTGTTGCTGGTGGTGGTGGTGGTGTGGTGGCATTGCTGTTAGTGGTAGTGGCGCTAGTGCTGGTTGCTTGCTGTTGTTGCTTGCTGGTGGCGGTGGCGGTGGCGGTACTGTTAGTGGTAGTGGCGCCAGTTGTTTGCTGGTTGCTGGTGGGTGGTGGTGGTGGCGGTATTGTTGTTGGCAGTGGCGCAGTGGTGCTGGTTGCTTTGTTGCTGGTTGGTTGGCGGCGGTGGTGGCGGCATTGTTGGCGGCAGGTGGAAATAGTGTCTGGTTGTTTTGCTGGTTGGTTGCTGTTGGTGCTGGTGGCATTTTGGCGGTGGTGTGGCAGCTAGTGCTGGCTGGTTATTGGTTGGTGGTGGTGGCGGTGGCATTGCTGGTTAGCGCAGTGGTGCTGCGTTGGTTGCTGGCTGGCTGGTGGTGGTGGCGGCATTGGTGGTAGTGGCGCCAGTGTTGTTGTTGTTGTTGCTGGTTGCTGGTGGTGGTGGTGGCATTGGTTGTTAGTAGCGGTGCCAGCGCTGTTGGTTGTTGCTGGTTGCTGGTGGTGGTGGCATTGTTGTTAGTGGCAGTGGCGCCAGTGCTGCTGTTGCTGGCTGGTGGTGGTGGTGGTAGGCAGGTTGGCCTGTTGCAGTGCAGTGGCGCTAGTGCTGGTTGCTTTTTGCTGGTTGGTTGCTGGTGGTGGTGGTGGTGGCATTGCTGTTAGGGTGCAGGTGGCGCCAGTGCTGGTTGCTGCTTGCTGGGTGGTGGTGGTGGTGGCATTGCTGTTAGTGGCAGTGGCGTGCCAGTGCTTGCCGCTGCTGGTTGCTGGTTGGTTGTTGGCGGTGGTGGTGGCATTGTTGTTAGTGGTAGTGGTGCTGGGTTGCCGCTGGTTGGTTGTTGGCGGTTGTTAGCAGTGGTGTGGCGCTAGTGCTGTTGCTGGTGGTGGCGGTGGTGGCATTGCTGGTTAGTGGTGGCGCTAGTGCTGTTGCTTGCTGGCTGGTGGTGGTGGCATTGCTGTTCAGTAGTGGTGCCAGGTCGCTGGCTGTTTGCTGCTGGCTGGTGGTGGTGGCATTGTTGTAGTGGCGGTGCCAGTGCTGTTGCTGGTTGCTTGGTTGCTGGCGGTGGCGGTGGTGACCAGTAGCGCCAGTTGCTGTTGCTTGCTTGCTGGTGGTGGTGGTGGCATTGGTTGTTGCGGCAGGTGCCAGTGTGTTGTTGCTGGTTGTTGGCTGGTTGGTGGTGGTGGCGGCGGCATTGTTTAGTGCAGTGGCGCCAGTGCTGGTTGTTGCTGGTTGCGGTGGTGGCGGTGGTGGCATTGTTGTTAGTGCGGCGTAGTGGGTTTGCTTGCTTGGTTGCTGTTGCTTGCTGGTGGTGGTGGCGGTGGCATTGCTGTTAGTGGTGCGCGCTAGCGTTGGTTGCTGTTGTGGTTGGTTGCTGGCGGTGGTGGCATTGGTTAGGCGGTAGTGGTGCTAGGCGCTGTTGTTGTTGCTGGTGCTGGTGCGGCATTGCTGTTAGTGGCAGTGGCGCCAGTGCTTGCTGGTTGCTGTCGCTGGCGGCGGTGGTGGTGGCATTGGTTTAGCGTGGCAGTGGTGCCAGTGCTTGCTGTTTGCTTGCTGTTGCTGGTGGTGGTGGCATTGCTGTTGGGGTGGTAGTGGCTGCTTAGTGCTTGCTGGTTTGCTGTTTTGTTGCGGTGGTGGTGGCATTGTTGTTAGCGGTAGTGGCGCTAGTGCTGTTGTTTGTTGGTTGGTGGTGGTGGCATTGTTGTTAGCGGCAGTGGCGTGCTTAGTGTTGGTTTGTTTGCTGGTTGGTGGTGGTGCGGCATTGCTGTTAGTGCAGCGGTGCTAGTGTTGCGTTGCTTGTTTGCTGGTTGTGGTGGTGGCATTGGTTGTTAGTAGTGGTACGTCGGTTGTTGTTGGTGGCATGGTTGTTAGTGGTAGTGGCGCTGCGTTGTTGCTGGTGGTGGTGGTGGCATTGCTGTTAGTGGCAGTGGTGCCAGTGTTTCGGTTGTTTGCTGTTGGTTGGGTTATTGGTTGCGGTGGTGGCATTGTCGTTGCTGGTTGGTTGCTGGTGGTGGCGGCATTGCTGTTAGTGGTGCGGTGCCGCCAGTGTTGTTGTTGCTTGGTTGGCGGTGGTGGCATTGCTGTTAGTGGTAGTGGTGCTAGCGTTGGTTGCTGTTGCTGGTGGTGGCATTGCTGTTAGTGGTAGTGGCGCTTAGTGTTGTTGTTGGTGGTGGTGGTGGTGGCATTGTTGTTGGGCGGCAGTGGTGCCAGTGTTGTTGTTGTTGCTGGTTGCTGGCTGGTGCGGTGGCATTGCTGTTAGTGGCAGTGGCGCTAAGGGGTTGTTTGCTGGCTGTTGGTGTGGTGGCACTGGTTGTTAGTGCAGCAGTGGCGCCAGTGTCGTTTTGTTGGTTGCTGGCGGTGGCGGCACTGGTTGTTGGTGTAGTGAGGCTTGTGTGTTTTGCTGGTGGTGGTGGCATTGGTTGTTAGTGGTAGTGGTGCTGAGTGCTGTTGCTGGTGGTGGTGGCATTGCCAGGGCAGTGGCGCCAGGCGTTGCTTGCTGGTTGTTGTTGGCGGTGGTGGCATTGTTGTTAGCAGTGGCGCCAGTGCTTGTTGCTGGTTGTTGCTGGTGGTGGTGGCGGATTGGTTGTTGCAGTGGCGCCAGGTTGGTTGCTTGCTGCTGGTGGTGGTGGCACGTTGGCAGGCAGTGGTGCTAGTGCTTGCTGGTTGTTGCTGGTGCTGGCGGTGGTAGCATTGGTTGTTAGGTGGCAGTGGCGCCAGTGCTGTTGGTTGCTGGTTGTTGCGGTGGCGCATTGTTGTTAGTGGTGCAGTGGTGCCAGGTTGTTGTTGTTGTTGCTGGTTGGTGGTGGTGGCATTGTCTGTTAGCGGCAGTGCGTCAGTGTTGGCTGGTTGGTTGTTTGCTGGTGGTGGTGGATTGTTGTTAGTGGTAGTGGCGCTTAGTGCTGTTGCTGGTTGTTGGTTGTTGCGGTGGCGGTGGTGGCATTTGTTGCGGTAGTGGCGCTAGTGGCTGTTGCTGGTTGGTTGCTGTTGCTGGTGGTGGTACTGGTTGCTGGGGTGGTAGTGGTGCCAGTGCTGGTTGCTGGTTGTTGGCGGTGGTGGCATTGCTGGTTAGCAGTGTTGGCGTTGCCGGTTGTTGCTGTTGCTGGTGGTGGTGGTGGCATTGCTGTTAGTGCAGTGGCGTGCTGCGTTGCTTGCTGTTGCTGTTGCTGGTGGTGGTGGCGGCATTGTTGCGGGTTAGTGGCAGTGGTGCCAGTGCTTGTTGCTTGCTGTTGTTGTTGCGGTGGGTGGCATTGTTGTTAGTGGCAGTGGGCTAGCTGTTGTTGTTGTTGCTTGCTGGTTGGTGGGTGGCATTGTTGTTAGTGGCAGTGGTGCCAGTGTTTGCTGTTGCTTGTTGGTGGTGGTGGCATTGGTTGTTAGTGGTAGTGGCGCTAGTGTGTTGTTGCTTGTTGTTGCTGGTGGGGTGGCATTGTTGTTAGTGGTAGTGGTGCTAGTGCTGTTGTTGCTTGTTGCTGGTGGTGGTGGCGGTTTGTTGTTAGTGGTAGTGGTGCTGCGTTGTTGTTGTTGTTGGTTGCTGGTGGTGGCATTGTTGTTAGTGGTAGTGGTGCCAGTGTTGCTGTTGTTGTTGGTGGTGGTGGTGGTGGCATTGCTGTTAGTGGTAGTGGCGCTAGTGTTGCTGTTGCTTGTTGTTGGTGGTGGTGGTGGCATTGCTGTTAGTGGTAGTGGTGCTAGTGTTGTTGTTGTTGTTGTTGTTGTTGGTGGTGGTGGTATTGTTGTTAGTGGTAGTGGTGCTATTGTTGTTGTTGTTGTTGTTGGTGGTGATGGTGGTATTGTTGTTAGTGGTAGTGGTGCTAGTGTTGTTGTTGTTGTTGTTGTTGGTGGTGGTGGTGGAGTCGCTTTTGTTGATGGTGTAGTGATTTTGTTGTTGTTGTTGTTGCTTTTTATGGTGGTGCTGATGTTATTGATTGAGGTGTTGTTGATGTTAGTGTTATTGTTGTTTTTGTTGTTATAGGTGGTGTTATGTTATTGTTGGTGTCGATATTGGTGTCAGTGGTGTTCGTTAGGTGTTGTTGTTGGTGGTGATTTTGGTGGTAATGGTGTTGGTAAATGTGTTATTGTTGTTGTTGTTGTTGGTGGTGGTGGTGGTGGTAAAGGTTGACAACGGTTGACCACATCACAACCGAACTCATAATGCAGGATAATGTCAACAGTCTCAACTCTGTCTCACATACTCTACTCACACTCACTAAGTCATTGTGGAGGCTGAACACTTCATTTTACACAACATGTCCACACTCCTACACAGATCCTTAATGTTGATGGGTACAGTGGGCACTTGATGGGTCACTTACCTCAGATTTTGAAAAGGCCAATTCACCAAACAATAGACTTTAATAGCGAAACTCAACTAGTGTTTAAACTGTCTATTGGCATCAATATTGTCTTGCAAAACCGTTATTTATCCTAAGTCCTCTCCTCTGACTATTACTCTATCAATTCTGGGGTTCCTCGGGGTCCTGTCTTGGTATCTCCACTTTTTATTAACCATTGGTGATCTTCTTTCAATGATGAGCAAATCCTTTGACTCTGAGACAGATGATTCAACCCTTTATAAATCCTTGACTATAAGTGTAAAGTCTCACTAAAGAAATTCCAATTTGAGACAGAAGTTCTCATCGGTATAGATACACTTCACGCGTATAGCTGGATGTGGTGCAGCCTACGATTATGTGGTTTCCTCCAATTCCTCTAAAACATATTACACAATATATTGCAAGAAACAAGATATTACGTAATTCGACATAAATTGGGACAAATACTACCTCACATAGTACCGAGATTTTAGGCATTACCTTTACTTTAAGTCTTATCATAACAAACTTCAGAATTTGCATTTTTTTTAATGGTGCTTGTAGTCTTATTTTGAAACATGTCCTATTACACCTAGGGACGGGTGGCACCTATTTTACCATGGCCACTCTAGATGGCGTTCTGTTGTCATATATGTTGGATGTACTTTTTATTTTGTTAGTGAGAGACTTCAGGTGAGTACAAGAGTGACCAGCAGCAGTTGAGGGCTGGAGCGGCTCACGCGTGATCCTCTCCTCATACCGTGTTTATTCTCTCCCGGCTGAAGTTTTCCTTGTTGTTACATAAATATAGTAAAGAGGATTACCTTTTTACTTTGTCCTATTTAAAACTGTGCGGGGCGGCTTATGACTCAATGGCATGGCAAGGGACGGTATTTCTGGTTTAGTAGAGTGATGGACGACCTGCTATGTCCTACTTTACTCTTAGTGGTCTCTGAGGAGCCCTACTTCCTGTTCCCTTCAAATTTATGTTTGTTCTTGCTCGTGTTGTCTGACAGTGTATTTTTGTTGCTCTCGGTTATATCTGTGTTGAATTTATGTGTACACTAAAGCCCCGGACAGAGAACCACATGAGACCCTGGAGGTTAACTCTGTTGTAAAAGTTCGCGTGATGTCAAATAATAATCTTAATACTTGTTGTTGTTTTTAAATCCTAGAATACATGACTGTACTCATTAAATTACTATATTATTGCTTTAAAAATATCAATACTTGTATATGCAGGGAGAGGAGTGCCAGGGGGCATAGTAGTCTACCAGCCAGTGCCAGATTTCAGCACCGGTTAGAAAAGTGCCAATGGTAGCAGTTGTTAGGGTGATGTATGGGGTTCCTCACCAGTGTGGCTGTAAAGTCTGAAAGTGATGCAATTCTTTATTATAGAACCGTTTCCATGGCAACCATCATCAAACTATGTAAAACACCTGTCTTCGTTCAAACTGCTATAACTTTGTTATTAAATATTCTAGGAACACATTTCTGGTGTTTAACGAATGGTCTCAGATTGCTCTAAACAACCTTTCTCTTATTCATGATGTTCAGCTAATTCACATATAATTATGACGTCAAGTTGGAAAATTTTGAATTAAAAAAAATACGTTCTTTATTCTGGTATTGATTTGTTATTGCATCTTGGTGGCTCAAAATAGTGCTGTCTGTTAGGAAATATATCTAACTTATCAAAAATTTTCCTTATATTGAATGAAGGACCAAGAAAATATCGTTTAAGCCTTAGTTTCCATGCTAGGGTAGACTGGTATGGATTCAATGCCATAAATATGGCAGTGAAGGTGGCCCTTGGAGGCAACAGTGAAGTACTGGAGCTTGGTGCAGATCATGAAAAAGCGGACTCTTGCTTGTTTCTTCATATTACACAGGTAAAATACAAACTTGGAGTTAATCGGGTACTGTTTTGGAGTCTAGACTCGGATGTTGCATCTATGTGACCACGATACTGGATGCTTGATTTAAAGGAGTTGTTTCTGAAGACTGGTGTATGGCGAAAAAAGAGAGTCATTCCAATGCTATGTTGTGGCAAATGAACTCGGAGAAAATATGAGCAATATGCTACCAGCCAACCATGCAGCCAGTGGATGCGATTCAACCTCAGCCTTTAGTGTCCTAGAAAAGTAAAAATTATAATTATTGAAGGTAGTTGAAGTACATCCTGAATTGAACGATAATCTACAACTTGCAGACAGTCCATCTGCCATCATCCATGACATCAAGGAGGCCTCAGTGTCACCGTTGTACTGTGGAAAGAAACATGACTCGCTTGATTTAGTACAGTACGAATTGTTTACAGAGATGAACGCAACAAATGAGAAACTGCCTCCAACTATAGATAGTTTTCGTTTGCATCATAAACGGGCAAATTATCTTAATACTACAGCAGAATTAATTTTAGTACTATTAACAGCAATAGCAATAGGACATCACCGAACTATCAGAAGCAGCAGTAGAAATAACAGCAGAGCAGCAACAAAAACAGTATTAATAGCAACACCAGAGTGGTAATATAACAGCTGTCGCCACAGTAGTAGACATGGCAAGAGCTTGAACCTATTAATTCCAATAAACGACAGAATAAATGAAAGGTTTCATTACTGAACACGAATACAACGCTCCTGTTGGTAGTTACTGAGGTGGTCCCTAGTTCAACTCGCACATCTTGTAACGTATATGGTTTGTACACGTCCAGAAATGTTGCATATAAACCGTGACTAATTAGGATACATAATTACTCTTTTGTTTTATCATAACTCCTTTTGTTTATAATCTTACCTTTATAGTCGAAATTCGTGTCTTTTCTTTTTCTCTATTTTTTTGTAACCCGTCTGTGAGAGGAACACTGCTGCCAACAATACAATAATCCCGCGCCTCTGGTTCACGCAGCTTCTTGTTACCGTATTAATGAACAATATAAACAATACCAACCTTTCTTACACAATCGACACCGAAGAAAAATCACCAAAATATCGATAAATCACTGTACTGTACATCAAGGTAAAGGGAATAATGGCATTGAGACAGGGTGGAGGGGAATGTCGAGATATACGAGAACACAGCCGCCGGTCAAATACCATCTATAAGGG